ATGCATTCGTTTTCTATAATCATAGCATCAGTTATTCACCAAGTCAGAGTTTTTCCAAACAGGGGTTTGCAAATTATTTAAATGTAACATTAAAATAAACAAAGGGGTGTGTGCAGTTAATCTAAATAAAAATGAAATAACAATATGACTTATCAAATCGTGATTATCAAATGCTGCGATTTAATTGAAGTATACTGTATAGACTGTTGTGGAGTTCATTTACAGTGCACACATACAGCTTATAATAATTCAATAATACACACTTAATTTACATTTGCATATGTCCAACATTTCTGTGGACTGAAATTTATAGCATTTTACCAGTATTCTGTTCAAATTAAAGGCTTGAGGGTAAGTTACTTGTATTATTTTACGAACAAAATGTATTATTTTTGTATAATAATAATAGTTCATAAGTAATTCACATGACTCCAGTCCATACATCAATGTCTTGTGAAGCTAAAAGGTGTGTTTGTAAGAAACAAATCCATAACTAATGTGTTTTAACTTTAAACCGTCGCTTCTGGCCAAAATACAAATCCATAATCCATAATAACGTTTCCTCCATTGAGTAAATCCATCTGCTGTGGTCTCTCACATCAAAATCCAGCCACATATCTGTTTGAAACTTTTCTGGACTGTTTCCATTTGTAAATGGTAAACTGTTTTCATTTGTAAACGGTGCTTGATCTATGCATATTTCTCTCCTGATTCAGATGAGATAACTTTTTCATTTGAGAAACCAATAATACAGATGGATTATGGCCGGAAGCAACGGTGAAAAGTTAAAACGTCTCGATGGATTCGTTTTTTTACAAACATGCAACTTTTCTCAAGACATTCATTGATGGACTGGAGTCATGTGGATTACTTGTGGATTAATGTGATGTTGTTATCACGACTGAATCATAATACTGGGAATTGCAAAAGAGTGAAAGAGTAAATACAATCTTCCCACATACTTCTTGCTGGCTGCTTAGCCTGGTAGACCAAATGAGAAATATAAAAAAAAATCTGCAATTAATTTGGGTTATCTGCAAATACATATCCCATCATTGTTTAGTCAATCCAGCATTTAATATGGTACTTCAATGCGTCATTTGTAAAAGCTCATAAATTACAGCAGCAGACTCCTTGACTCTGTATATTAATCTGGTTGTAAGTATAGTCTGGCAGGTCAGAACTCAGGTAAACAGTCTAAATCAGAGCGGTGGAGGAGTCCTGAGGCCTGTACTGTGAGATGAGAGCATGAACCAGCACGCAGGAGCGGGAATTTTTACCGTGCCTTGTGGCGACTGGCACCTTAACAAAAGTGCATTCAAGGGTGCTCTGATGTCAGTAAATGAACAGCAAATAACAGAAGAGCAACCGCATATGAATATATGTATTGTCTCTGAGATGAAATATGACAGACTGATTTAGATAGTGTTTTAAAAACACCACCGATTGCAATTTATCAAACATATCATCTATCAATCGCTGCATGTGCTGATGCAGACCAAAAAAAGGCCTGATTCTGCAAAGTGTGGGAAACATTTTCAAGGAACATTTTTCTTTATCTGTGACGTGAGGTTGAAGACTTAAACCAGGAGTCGATAAATCAACTAACCCCTGTACGCCGCCATAAACAAGCCATACGTCAATTAAACGTGCTGATATTAGAAGCCGTTGTGGTAATAACAGTCACCCTGTTAGTCACAGCGTGGTGGGTAGCAAGTCTGTTTCACATTCAAATCTTTGATGTGCAAAATGCACGGCACTTTTTCAAGCCTGACAATATTTGCCCCGCAGAAGTGCATTCTTGCTTCTGCATGACCTCCTACTTACTGCAAAGCTTTTCAAGTCAGAGGTGTATGGGTCATTAAGCTCTGTCAGTATAAAGGGCAGTAGAGACAAGAATGATCTTGCTCTTTAAGATACAGATAGCGGTGTAATTTGGCCTCTATCATTAGCCATCAAAGTGGCTGGGCCTGATTTCCATCTCAGTCAAGAGCCACTGACTCTACTCTGAATCTTCTTTGGAGTCTGTGGTGTCATTAGGGTTGAGGGAAGTCACCTTGCATTACTGTTTTCTGCAGAGCCAGCGTTCATTATTGCCAACTGAAATCCTGTATGTCAGGCAAGATCACGGAGAAAACAGGCTAGAAGCAAAATTAAAAATTGCATTTTTATCCTGTCACAAAAAAAATCTGCAGTAATCTCACATGGCTCATCTAGATCTTTTATCATTTTTATGAGATTTCAACAAAATACTAATGTATATGCAATCAAAAGAAGAGATTTCAAGATAAACTCCCTCTATTTTGTCATTAAATTCCTGAGCTGCTATGTTCATCTCTTCTTACTGCATGTCAATAATTGTCTCATTTGTGTCCGATTTTACTTCTAAAGAATTTTAGGAGAAACTTCTGAGACAAAGTTAATGCTTTCGCCTGGTTCTTTTCCAAAGTCTTGATTAAAGTCAGAGCATGGTTTAACTAAACGTAACAGGTTAAATTTGATGACAGACAAATGACCATTGAGTTAAGAAAAAATACAAAGAAAGACATGCTTTTTTTTTTCTTTATATGTAGCTCTTTCCAAACTCTGGATCCAATTAAACAACAGATTTTAGCTTACAAGGTCTTGCTTGAAAAAAAAAAGGCTGAAACCAAAGGTCATGTGCAACGAATATGGTGTAACTTGTGGCAAACGCATTGAACTGTCAACAGAGTTTGTCAATGGAACAAACAAAAACTCAGTATGCAAAGTCTCTATAGTGTGTGTTTTTTAAGCGAGTAACCAAACCCAACACTCCTAAGTTTCACTCAGACATTTCATGACCAGTGTTGGGCAGTAACGCATTACTTAGTAACGCGTTACTGTAATTTGATTACTTTTTTAGTAACGGAGTAATTTAACGCGTGATCATTTTCAAAATAGTAATTAGAGTATAGTTACAAGCCGAGGTCTCTATACGTTACTGCCGCGTTACATTGCTGACAGAATGCAGTGTTTTATAATCTAGAGATTGTAAAAAGGATGTAGCACACGCACTGTCGAGTCACAAATTAATTGATATTAAATGGATGAATAAATATTGCAATTTTTTTATCGAACAGTACGCATAGTAAAATACAGTTAACACACAGTATTGTATTGTATTGTATTGTACAGTAATATTGTAAAATATTACAATTTAAAATTTCAGTTTTCTGTTTTGATATATTGTAAAAAAAAAAAAAAAAAGAATTTTATTTCTGTGATGCAAAGCTGAATTTTCAGCATCATTACGCCAGTCTTCGGTGTCACATGATCTTCAGAAATCATTCTAATATGCTGATTTTCCACTCAAGAAACATTATTATCAGTGTTGAAAACACTAGTGCTGCTTCCTTTTGTGGAAACCATGATACTTTAAGGGTTCTTTGATGGATAGAAAAATTCAGAACAACAGCATTTATCTGAAATAGAGATCCTTTGCAACATTATAAATGTCTTTACTGCCAGTTTCATTTAATGCAATGGATCCTTTTTTGCATAAAAGTATACATTTCTTTTAAAAAGAACCCAAACTTTTAAAGGGGTCCTATTATGCTTTTTCACTTTTTTAATTTTAGTCAGTGTGTAGTGTGTATGTTTGGGCATAAAAAATAAAAATCTCAAAGTCCACTCCAAAGGGAGATATTTAGTTTTTTAAAAATCCCTTTTCAGTA